TTCAGATGTGCACCTTTTAAACATCGCAGTAACGGTAGTAGTATGAGGCGGGGCAGTCTATCGATCGATATTGATTATTGGTCACCAAACTGTATAGATTTGTATTGATCAGATGTGCAGAAGTACCTTCCTTTGCCCGTAGTGCATTCAAATTGATGGAGGACACAAATATCTGGTGACCGGCATTTATTGATTCGACGATATCGATCGGTATCGATTGGGCGATCTAAATATCGCATAATGCTAATCTGGGACGTAATTAATAATTTCTCCTCTTCAGGTTCTGAACATCTAAATTGATGAAGATCGGAGATATTTGGATTTAAACTTTGGTACAAGTGAAACCATTATCGGCCACGTGTCATTATCGATCACGATTATCGAACAAAATTATCGATTTTCATTGTGGAGAAGGGAACGAGTTTGATTATCGATTTTGATGATGAAGAAGGGAAGAAGGGAGTGTGATTGAAACTGAACGAGGATAACCCTGGAAGCCAAAATTACACAGATTACTAGAATATTGATCAGCATTATCGATTTTTTGAGTCCCGTGAGTGGTATTGGACTCATTGTCAGCCATGACTTATTCTAGAGAATTGTCTTTGCTCATCAACATCATCTTTCTGATTCGAATTTTTACAATAGAAACTAATCAGATCTTTACTATCGTAGGGCTACCGACAGGTGTTCTAGGCAGCGGAAAGCCTGAAAGAGCCAGATCTTCTAGTAGCATAGAAGCAACAGCTGGTCAGACTACAAACTTGTAGTGCGAGATCTCGAACGTTTATCCCAAGTGGGTATTCTAAACAAGATGACAAACATCATCAAAGGTATTCTGTTTTTTTGCACTATAAACGTTGTTAGAGTAGGGCTGTGGGCGGGGCTTGATGTTGAAGTGTTTACGGGCATAGTTGCTCTTCTCCTTCCATCCATATCACGTAGCTACGTTCAAACCTATGCTCCATAAACTTCTTGTTATGCATCATTTGAAGTTGAATTAGCTGAGTCGAGAGATCGAAATGACACTCTTTCTAGCAGGAGTCCCGCCCATTGCCTCTCTTCCCCCAAACCATGATGTTTCGTATTTTAGCAGGATTACAATGAGTGATTCAGTGGAACAGGGAATCTATAATAATAGCAGGTTGCTGAAGACGTAATAGATTTGTCCCTATCGCAACGAGTACTTCTCCCCGGGGTGATGACAGCTTTGTTCGGACTTCTTCGGAAGTGCATCCATTAGGGCTGATTGTTCACACCACTCATTCGAGCAACTCTATTTTCTATTCTATTCTTCCATAATCAAGTCCTTGGTGTATATCGATGGATCTGACTAAATTCATGTTACCTAGGAGGTTAGGGCCTAAAGGGTGAAGGCGGTGAAGGGGCACATGGCATGTCATCCACGAATGGTGAGGAGATTGAATCGCGGCTCGATATCCACCTTGGCCTGCCAAGTCTTTCATCCCTCCGGGCTCGCTTAATTGGTGCCAGACTCGTCTGGCCATTATAAGATATTGCATAGGCTACATATGCATTAAAACGACCAGTTGCGATCCGAAATGGAATTCCAATTCCCGGAAACGGATTCTTTAAAGCCTGAGTAAGGGAACCCAATACAGTATACGGCCAACCATAGCATCTCGTAAAACAATTTGCCATTTTTTTTTGCAACATAATAACTCCATATCTATACAATTTCCCAGACGATTCCCAAAAACGCCGACAAAGGTGTGCAAGGAAACGTGGACCAACGATGGAGGAAGATCCATCAAGGGAGGGGCACTGAGAGTACAAACTAACAATTTCAACCAAACAACCATCGAAAATACCTTTGTTTCAAGGCTCGTTTCATCGATCACTATCTAATACACTCATTCATCCCCTCCGCAAATATGGCCGTATTCTGCCCTAATGAACAAATACCTCCCCTCTGTTGTCGCACCCGCGACAGATGCTTGGCTGCTTGTACTCGCCCCTCCCACTTTGAATTCCTCCACTGTTGAGAATTAAAGTCATTATATAAATCTTCATCAATTGATAGATGCAACATGAAGTTCCTAGCGAGGTCAATTCCGTTTTGGAATGAGCCCACTCATTTGAATACCATTCAGGTCGTAGTAGTGATTGAATGCATACTTGGCATTTACAATGTGCTAGACCAGTGCTTTGATCCCCCAAACAGAAAGGTACTCGGATGGAACAACTGATGTTCCTTCCTTCCATAGATCTGGGATTTTTCACCGTGGGTTTGATTCTGGGCGACCCAGGCGCTGAGCCATTTCCTCCCCCATTAACCACGTATAACATTACTTATGGAATCGGGCAGAGATCAACTTCAACTTTCCTGTTTTCCCCTAGCGTTGTCGCAGGGTTAACTGTTCATGTTAGTCTTACCCATTAAATGTCTGCAGCACCATCTGCAACAAGACGGACTTTAAAGTCCCGTGAATTTGTAGTACAGTAAGCTGAGGACACACTCGAGCGCCTTCGAACACCCGTCACATATACGACGCAACGAAAGGATACCTTGGGCGAGGCCCTGGGAAAGTGATGAGGCACTTACGGTACCACACATTCACGGACCTTAGGATCCATTTTGTCATTCCGCAGTGGCAGATGGAACAACCGTTTACCTTTGTTTCTCACTCGTTTCATCCCTGTCCACCCGCTAGCCCATCCCAACATCCTCGATCCTGCGGGCTGAAGTCGTCTCTCATGTTTCTTGCTTACGGCCAGCTTCACTACCGTAGAACAGCTTGGGTCACACCACTTCCCGGTACCTTTCTATTGAGCATCCTGGAGCACCACTGGTCCCTGGAGTACTGTCAATTGTAAAGGACACCCGTGGACCCTCTCCGTATCATGCATGTCGCCTTTATTCGGGCCTTTACAGCCCGGTCCACGTTACCATCGGCGGCTAGGTCGCACCCCAAACGTCGGAATTCCTGCACTCTTTCTTGCCTGCCCAGAGCAGCCTACGATTGACTCCGTACTTTCCCGGATTTGGGGAACTTGGCCTTCTTTACGTTTAGCCGGAGCCCGTTCTCCACTAGCAATTTCTGTCATTTCTGCAGCTTGACCCGAAATTCTTCTTCAGTATCCGTTATTATAGATGTCTTCAGAGTGAGGAATGGTCTTCGACAGGAATTTCATTCTGTATTTCGATATATTATAGCCCAGCTCCCCGCTGGGAATCTTATCGCCCATCTCTCATAGGGAATCTTATCACCGCATGATTTATGGGGGGACCTGTTCTGGGGGCCCTTATCGTTCTGCTTATCATCACTCCATTATGGTATAATGTCGTAACGGGCAAAGTCTCGCTATAACCTGTCATGACATGCAAAACCAATGCTGTTAAACAGAAAGATCGATACCAGCGATCATCCTCAGAATTCATATTCCTCACCCAAAAGTTATCAAATCATCCCTTCCTCTCCATATGAAC